GGAGCAAAGGGCTTCAGAGGGATCAAAAATTAATTTCAGGCATATCCCCATCAAACCTCTGAGAAGGGCCAGAGATTTTCTCAGGGCTTTGATCCCATTTGATAATGTTTTGGTTGGGGCAGAGCCCTGACGCCCTCATCTCTCCTGCGTCTCTCCCGCGTCTCTCCGCAGGTCCCTTTCTTCGGGAAGCGCCAGCACCACACCTGCCCGTGTTTGCCCAACTTCATATGCTCCAGGTTCCTCGACGGCCGCTACCGCTGCTCCGTCGACTTCAAGAACTTTGATTTTTAGGGTGATGCTCCCGGCTTTCCATCCGTGAGCTGCCAGCACCCATTTCTTGCCCTCTCCCGTGGCTGCCGGGTGCCCACATAGCGCCAGGCAACCTTAAAAGTGCTTTTCCAAGGTAGACAGTGTTGTTATAAGCTATATGTTATATGGGGAAACTGAGGCACGGTCAGGCCAAGCTGCTCCAACATGCAGCTTAGCAAAGCTCTGCTCCAGCCCGGAGCAGGACCTGGCTCCAGCACCCTCTGCAGAGGAGTGGATCGAAGGACAGTGTGTGTGGCAAATGTCTGTGGCCTCAAAAATCCCTTTCACAAGATGTTGTCTGCATGTGATGGATGCTGTCGGCCGGCTTTCACCTCCCTCCTTTGTTTTATACAGTAAAAATCAAGGGTGATGCAATTTGGGAAGAGTGAAAGTAGATGCCGAGCACCCAGCAGCCAGGAGCTTCCTCCCGGGGTTTTTGTCCTGGCGCATGATAAAATTTGGGACGTGAAGCTGAGCAGCATCGTTTCATCTGCCAGAGCGTCTGCAGGGCTGAGCCCAGCGGCGAAGGTGGTGGTGGAGACCTGACTTCAATTATTTTTACACTTTTCAGTCGTGCCCTAGGAAAAACAAAAATCAGAGGGGCAGAAACTTCCTTTCGCGGGGAGCTTTGGCAGTTTCCCTGCAGTTCCTACTGGATAAACCATTTCTGTAGTGATAATTCCCATCGTGATATTGCCCGATCGTGTCTTATCAGCGTATTTTTTTTTTCAAGCTGGTGACGGATGATCTAATCTAGCCTGCAATTAAAAGAAATCGATATCAGGTAGCTGTGGGGAACTAAGGAACGGGTTTCCCCAAAGTTCAAGCAGCGCAATGTGTTTGGCAGAGGCTGAAGCAGGGCTGGCTGGAGCCGTGTCGTGCCAGATGTGGGTCTTTGGGACGTAGGAAAATGTTTTCCAGCCTCAGCATCTGCCTTAGGTTCAGGCACCGTGTGAGGTTTGGGAGCCTCTTTTTATGTCAGTCGAATTTGAGAGGAGAATGGGATGTTAAAGTTAATCAAACGTGCTGAAAGTTACCTCAGACACGCGCTTCCAGTTCCCCTCTTAAAAACGTATCGTGGAAAAATCGGGTATCACTTGAGCTTCCCTCCTGCTTCCTACAGCAACCCCTGGCAATAATAAATTAAAAAAAAAAAAAAGAAATAAAAAAGAATAATCAGCATTTACAGCAAAAAGAAAACCCCAACCCCAACTGGTTTCCTTTCAAGCAGAAGCAGTGCCTAAAGGCAAAGCTTATTTTTGGGGTTTGAACGCGTGTGCTCGGAGCTGCTCCCGGAAAGCCCGTGGGGTTCGGTGCCGGGAGCGGCGGCACCCCCCTGTGCTCTGGGCCCTCCCTGTTTGGGGGGGTTCTGGGGGGTTTTGGTGCTATAGCAGCAAACGTTCCTATTTCCGAAGACCCCAAAGGACACCAGCTGCATGGCTGCGGCAGATGTTACATTATCCCGGGGAGCAGAGTAATTCGGATTTGGCGTCGGATGCTGGGTGAAAGCTTCCCTGCACTTGTTTCTCCCTCCAAAACTTATTGTAAATTCGGTGAAAATAAAACATTGCAATGACCGGGTTGATTTTATTTAGTGGGTTTTTTTTTACACATCAGAAGTTTTGCTTTTTATTTACAAAAGAATAGTCCTGCCGTGGGGATGCTGCGTCTGCGAGTGCGTTTATGATACCCATTGCTCGGCACTGGGGACCACGGCAGGAGGGCTCGGGGGACACCATGGGTTGCCAAATAGAAAGGGGTCCCGTAGCAATACGAGGG